CCAGTAGTGCCTCTGACGAGCGATGACGTGATCGATCGGCCGAACTTGGGACCGAATCCTAGTTTCGCTTCCACAACTGTACACGTCTACCAAAGATCACATCACATCAGTGCCCACTAGTTTCAAAAACCCTATGAACCTTGTGTGTGTTGGGGCTTTCAGGTGATCCGTCTTCATCTCACTAAGATACTTACACTCCGTTGTGTGAGAGTATTTATTTATCAGTGACTTCTTCATTAGTAACATCAGTTGGACAATCAGTTTACATAATTACTCTCTAATTTGCTGGATAAATAACCAACATCAACACTGCATGGAACCATGCCCTACATCCTGGAAACTAATTACTTCAGGGGAAATTGAGACAAGTGAAAGAAACTCATTAATATTGAATCTTTTAACGTAACGTTTGTATTACGATATGGGATTTGCGACACTTTCTCGTTCGTATACTGTTCTTATGCTAAAGCTTATTACCGAGAAGCCGACTTCAACGCCTGGTTTTTAGATAGAGATGTTCGTATTGTAAGATTTCACACGACAAGGATACACATAGACACGTATGAAAAACTAATTAGTACAAGCGTGGTTTTGAAATCTCAGTCGACGGTTCAAACACAAATACATAAACACTCTTTATTTAGTTACAATTATATCTCTTCGGAAACAATGTCATTCTGTAAAATGTCTGTTATATGTTGCATTCGGATATAATTGTATTCTCAAGTCATCGTCAGATGGACATAACCAGTTGTACAGATTTCAGATAACCAATTAGGATTAGTCTTTGTGTTGTTGGGTTTTTTTGTGGTGTTTTTAGGTGTGTGTATGTGTATTTGAAATGTTCATCGTGCCTTTCACCTCTATTTATAAATGTACAGTGGACTCTGTATAATCCGACACTCATTGGGACCGGGAAAAATTGTCGGATTATACAGAGTGTCGGATAATTCAATGTCTCCTTGCTTGAATACTTTTCAAACAGTACCCTACATTGTAACTGGCTTATATCATGAAATTAATGCTTAATAGCTATTTTCTTGGTAAATAAAGGGAAAAAACAAATTCTCTATTTACATGTACATGTATACCATTGGATTTATTATCTTCAGTACAATATACTTGCATGTACTACCATCACAGTCATATTCACACTTTCATGAAAATGTCCTCCATTGTAGACTGGTGTTCTTCATTTTCGACTCCAGTGCAAAGTTCTTAGTTTCAGCTTCAAGGATGTTCACTAGCTGAAGCAACCTGGCAATTGATCTCACCAAATTAATTGATCCCTTTCATCCTATGCTTGACAAAACATACCTATGTCCTCACATTGGCCACTCAGCTTGTAAAAACAAAGGTACAGGCGTTCTCAAACTGCTAATTACCTCCCAATTAGCAAGTGCTGGGACCAAAGAGATTATCAGTAACAGGATGTTAGTTGTCAACTGGCCATTGACAGGTTGATTGGCTATTTTAGTTCAATATGGGGAGAGGATGTCGGATTGTACAGATTAATAGTGTCATTGGGACCAGAAAATGGTGTCGGAATTCGGAATGTTCAGATGTCGGATAATGCAATGTTTAAATGATGATAACATAGAAGAACGAATATGTCGGAATTCACAGATTGTCGGATAATTCAGATGTCGGATTATTCAGAGTCTACTGTAGTTTTAATAGACATATTTGCATGTTCGTTTTTTTTTCTGACTTTCGGTTATTTTAATCCGATTCAAGATGATATTTTCCACCATTTACAGAAAAATAACATTTACATTTTGGTTTCAGACTGGCTGTTTGGGGCACTGCTCTGCAAACTTGTTCCATATCTTCAAGGGGTTTCTGTGTGTGCTTCAGTCAACACACTGGCAGCTATTGCAATAGACAGGTAAATGTACCTAACATATTGTATCCAAACCGTCAGGACTGGTATTTTTAGAGTGGCGGTTAGCTGTTCTACCAGGGAACGGTTCCAGCGAGACGTGCTGAATACGCTATTTGTCGCCACTAATTAGACATAGGATCCTTCCGTGATAATGCATGACCTAGTCTTGAAATGAACCGCGATGAGGTTACCGTGGTTACTGCCAGTGTTATGAATGTACATCACTTATGGTGTCTGGCTTTATCCTTATTGATGATTGTTTTGAAGATCATTCTTCTTATTGAGATGAGGGCTGAATGTTACTTAAAGGGAAATAAACGTGACCGGAACTCGATAAAAGGCCATTAAATACTCATATGCTATTAGCGTAAATGTGGTCTTGTTCTAACGCCCTCGGCTTGTGACCTATCACATGACTATTGTCGGCTAGTTTTCGTATAAACGGGTCTGTAACTGGATACACTGACCTTTCGATCACTTATCCTCGCCAACATGGTTTGTTGTGCAACACTTCGATCACGTTCTATATGTGACGGAACAGCTGATGTACTTAGATGAAAAGTGTGATTTCAGAAATATTAGCAAACGGCTTTATACATACATAAACTCGACCATTTGGTCTCGATGAATAGTTCTATGATTTTGTTTGTTTTTCTCCCTGTGTCTCTCACAGTGTGACAGGTTCGATCTTTGACCTGCTTAATAACTGAACCTGATTAGCTTGGTTTTAATCTGAAACCTTTCCCTGACTTAATACTTTATCAGTCTAATTTCGAAATCAGGGTGAGCTTAGATGTCTTGACAAGTACTAATGTCAGTTTATGGTTCTTAAATATGTCGACTGTATTTCAAGCCGACGCCACGGCTTCATGTGAATCAAACACCAACTGTACGGAACGAACACGAGTGAGTGAGTGAGTTAAACTTTATAGTCACATTGGCAATATTTCAGCCATATCGTGACTTAAAGTTATAAATTCATAATAGACAGAATTGATCTGTAAAAAGACTGCCAACGAAGGGCAGTAAAATAACCAGATCATCAGAGATAGAGAACTAAAACTAGCATGTAACTGTAAAATTCAAATTTTTATGGACCATACAATATAAACAACGGGCTGGAGATCACCAGCAACTACAGGTGCGGCTCCTAGGGACGGAACGAACACGAACGGACGAATAAAAGAACGCGAATCTATGAACACTGCAAGACTGGATTGCAATACCAGATACATCGTTTCCAGTAGCCGGCTAAGATGTCAAAGTCAAAACCTTTACAATCATTAGGAAGGGGAACTCGGCCCTTTGATCGGACGTTCATTGTATGTTTACGTCTAGACATCGTGATTAGTACTATGTGATGAACTGACTCATTAGCTCTGTGAAATGAGGGTAGTCATGAAAGATAGATTCAGATACATCATAATACCTTTGTAGACAAACAGAGGGTTTAATCATCAAATCAGTGAGTCAGTGAGTTAAAATGTTACAGCCATATAGCGATGAAAACAAGGTAATCATTTTAAAATATCTGTCGACAAAGGACAGTAAAACAACTAGACTATCACAGATATATATATATTTAAAGCTAGTAATAAAATCTAAAATACTTTAACTATGGAGGACGATACAACACGCTATAGATCGCTAACAACTGAAGGTAGATCACCGTACTAGGGACCATGGATTTGAGTTTAAGAATCAAATTTGGTTCGACAGCCAGTTATGCGTAGCCCAGTTTTGAGTGTTTCAGGAATAGCGAAAAGTACGTTTCTTATGCCTTTTTATCGTCAAAACAAACTTTGGATTTTTCTGAAAATTGAGTTATGACATTTTCACAGACTAAAAGAAATTTGTATTTAATCCTCATTCCATACGAAAGGAGGTCAGAACGTTGTTATTACTTGTCATACTACCAGGTGATGGAATACTTTTGCAATAAGGTCAGTATTAAATGTTGTTGGGGGGATGCCAGCAAGCGAAGTTGTCAACACAGAATCTCACTTCTTTATTGAAATTGTTTGCCTGTAACTTAAATCAACAGGGACATTTGTAACCAAGGGAATATGTTTTATTGTTTTAAAAAGCCCCATGATCTAATTTCAAAAGAAAAAGAAAACCCCTTACATCTACTTCACATAACTTGTACCACAACATTATACTCAAGGCGGTAAACTTACAGCTTATTTTATTGATTTTACGACTCAAAGTAAATATCCTCTTCTATCTCTGCTCATGTTTTCCAGGAATAATGACTCTGGTAAACAAACCTGCTCATGTATCAGGAAGTGCTACTGCAAAAACTTGATATCTTCCGGTACATTGGAATGTTCTTCAACTGATTGTCAAGTTACGTTTATGCAGACTTACAACAGCAAATATAATTGTAAACATACTTTGAAGGTCATAACTAGAATGATGAATGCGGTACGGTAGTCAAATCATTTGAGAATATGAATCTGAGAACGTCGACTGACGTCGGTCTGTGAAGAGACCGGCATGTTTAAAAATGTGCTACCGGAAGGCCGGACATTTCGAATACTCCTTTTGTCATCACTGATTTTCAATGATCCATTTCTATGTTTAATTTACGTGATTTGTTGCCTCGGATAAAAACGACTGGTTATTCTCTGACGTTTTAGTTTTACGTCATGATTATGCAAACATCAACATAAACATTATTGAGAAAACATTATGTCTGAAACATTATAAGCACCAACAAAATATACGTTTCCAGAATTTTCATGAAAAGATCAGAATAGTATTCCATTTTGCAAAGTTACATTTGCTGTTATTTGGCATTGCCGTAAAGGACCTTTAAAGATTGACATTTCAAAGAGTTTACTTTACTCGGTATATTACTCCAAGTAGGCAATCTATCTCAAACGGGGGCGGTGGGGAAGCTTAGTGGTTAAAGCGATCGCTTGTCACCCCGAAGACCCGGACTCCCCACATAGTGGGGAGCCCATTTCTGGTGTCCGTGATATTGCTGGAATATTGCTAAAAGCGGCGTAAAAACCAACTCACTCACTCACTGTCTGTCTCAAACGTGTGATGCGAAACAAATTATGCATAAGTAAACTAATGTTCGAACTCTGTTTCAGATACATTGCAATCTGCCACGTACTTGAGTTCAAGCTGACGATGAGATCTGCCAGGTTTACAGTGGCTGTCGTGTGGACTTTGGCTGCCTCCATTATGATCCCATGGATTATCTATTACCAGCAAATAGAGTACAGGACAGATCTACAGGTTCTCTATATCTGCTTTCCGAAGTGGCCAAGACCAGAACAAGCCCAAGAGTTTTTTCTCGCAATCTTCCTGTTTTGTTATATTTTCCCCCTTCTGCTCATCGTCATCTGCTACTCTATGATTGGTCTCAAAGTATGGAACAGAGATCTTGGCGGAATATGTTCAGAAAATGTTGTGATACATAGATCTAAAGTTAGAGTTGCCAAAATGTTGGGTATTGTTGTGCTCCTGTTTGCTCTGTCGTGGATGCCATTGTACGCTATAAACATAAAGCTGTCCTTCAACAGTCCAGGTATGCACAGCGAGGAAATGAGAATCATTCAAGATCTAATCATCCCTATGGCCCAGTGGCTGGGATCGTCCAACTGCTGCATGAACCCTCTTGTATATTGTCTCTTCAGCAAGAGAATGAGAGCGAGGATCAGAATAATGTTGACCTGCTCGTCCTTGATCAGAACTCGCCGGAAGCTTCTTAAACGATACTATTCAAGCACGAAGCACATGACTGTGGATTATTCGAATGGGCAGATCAAACTGGCTTTCAAAAGAACGCAGTTAAATGGTTCAGATGATCGATTCAGTAAGCTAAGTAGTGATACTCCAAAAGTTCTTGAGAGACATCGCATGTACAATCTGTAAGAGGTCAGATCTTATGTGATGTAAAGCGGGGCTGTTGCTTGAAGCTGGTAATCATCGTATCGTCCATACAGTTGATACTGTCTGCCATCGTCGTCTTATTCATGTACCGTGATGAGTATGCCACAAATACGATATTTTATGATACAATAGCTTTGTTCAATATCTCCTATTGAATCGCTTACCACAGTTCTATTCAATCATCGCGGTAATGTCAAGTATTGATGCATGTTTTACTGTTTGTTGCATTTCTTTTGTTTTTAATGAAGGAAATAAATTTGCGTACGTGCAAAGGGCTAAAGGGTTGTTTTACATTGACCAGTGAAAAGCAATTCCCCTGAATGATTGGTAGAATATGCTGTCAAGTTTGTTTGTAACAACAGTATCTCGCATTTGAAGAGAAAGTGAATCGCGATGTGTGTGAGATGTCGAACTTCACATGTTTTAAAAAAGAGGAATGTACTTGAAAAGCTTCTTCTTTGTTTGGTTGGGAGGATTGAGAAATGTCACAATTTGAGAAATGGAAATGGATCAAATAACCTTATCTTATATTCACTATCAGGTCGTGCTTGATAAAGGTTAAATGTTGCATAACTTGTCTCGACATGTCGCATTAAAAATCGAAATTGAAATCTTATTGTCTTCTTGTATTAACTTTTTAAGATAAAGTCTACCTGTTTATATACCAAACTAGTGTTAGAAGCGATTGAATGTACCTGCAATCATTGTATTGCACTCATGTTATAATACACTCGCGTGTATTTCTTTCTAGGAATGCTAAACACTTTAAAACATGTATGTACCAGCCGTATGTTCATATAGGTGGAAAGGAAACAATGGGCTTTGATCGCATTTGATCGCATGTTTGCCTGACCAGATGGTCACAAGTATATTGCTGCACAGAAGCAGAGTGAACAAATGAAAGTATAGTAAAATAACTAATAAACACTTTGAAATTTGTTTTTGGATGATGTTTTGTTTCTAATTTTCTATTAGAATGTTAATCGGATTACATGATATTATGAAAACTAATTCTGGTTCTGTGTGATGCAAATATTCTAATTGGCTTCCAGGTGCATATTTCTCGTGTGTGTGTAACATTGACTATGTATCTCTCCACAATTTTGTTCCCAAATTATTACGGCAATGAAAATTCAAAGAGACAATCTATGATAACCGCATATTTCTGTGCCACAAAGTGTCAAATGTTAAAGTATCGTGAGTGCGTGAGTATGGTATTACGCCGTTTTAGACGGGGGACACCAGAAATGGGCTTCACACATTGTACCAATGTGGGGAATAGAACCCAGATCTTCGGCGTGACGAGCGAACACTGTAACCACTAGGCTACCATACCGCCCCTAAAGTATCAAGAAGATCGTTATCGAGTGCGTACATAGATCTTTTATCTATGAAACATCCGTAAGTCCAAAAACTTTCAATGTTAAATTTCAACTTACCAGATTTTAAACGCAGTATTTTTGGCTGAAATATTGCCGGTGTGACGTTAAATATTAACTCACTCACTCACTCATTATCTATGAAACATTGCATGCTTCCACACTGTCAAGAGTCAATTACAAAGGTAACCAATAATCCGTACACTAGGATCTGATGTAAAAGCAAATAATAACAAAGAAATTTTGTATTATATTAACAATTGTGTATTGACTAAGTGTTCACAGCACTACAAAGGAACGCAAAATAGTGTGATACCACAATTTCAAATCAGTACAAGTACAATGACATCTAAATGGAGAAGCAGTGCTTATAGCAATAAATAGAGGCAATATTCTACAATCTGCAACAGTTGCTTTGCTTACAAAATAGGCGAAATGTGATCTTCACACTCTGTGCTGGTCTTAACGGGAATGTAATGCGAGATGTGATATGTCTGAATCCACAGTACGTCCCTTTACATCTAAAATTTATTTAGAGTTTGACATGTGCAAAGAGCAGTTCTCATCACAATAACTTCTATAATAATAACATATACATTCTCTAAATAATATAATCTGTCGCTGTATATGGTTGACTTCCAACGCTCATAACATACACCACCATCAACTCCCACCACCAACACGACCACCAAAGGCCTAGACTAAATCTGGCCACCAAAACCACCACATAGTTTGTTTCGGGGTGTATTTGGATCCTAGAGATGCATTATTGAAACAAAAATAATAATTGAAATTGATATAATGATTGCCTGTCTTGGCGTCAAGCGGATGAGGATGAGGATGTCGAAAACTGATCGATCAAACAAAATCTTATTTGATTATATCTGCCAAAATACTGCGCCTCAGCTTCATATTTGAGGAAAGCCTGGAGCGTTGACAGTTTAAACGTTTATCACTTTGTTGAAACTACGAGCACGAATAAAATAGTTCAATTTAAAAAATGAAATCTCACCAAACACTTTTTTTTACAGAAACACTAATGTCTTATACATTTTGTACACAATATAATCACATCCTGTATGGAGTTACTTGAGAGTTACTGATCATGTTTTGAACTGTAATAGAACTACAGGTAGGCGGCTGTTAATTCAAATGTATTGCAATATTTTCACCGAATACTGATACCATTTGTTTGGTCAGTCCGAAAATGTAATCGAAATGCCATTCTTCCTGCATTTAAGCTATGTATAGCGACGCCTTCTTGCAGAGCTTCTACCAGACAATACCATGTCATTAAAGAAGATCGATATTATTTAGTTCTTGCCTATGTTTCCAGTAATCGCCCTGGGAATGCTTAATAATAAAAATTCTTTCTTTCTCAATCCCGCACGGAAGGCAGTTTAATGTTTCCACATATTGTTCGCCTCCCACAAAAACGGGTTGTTTCGAAGAATGAAAGATATTTTACACCCATGTGAGCAATATTATTTGCTGGCTTGAGTGAAATATTAAAATCAGCTGACCATTGACAGAAGACAGGGCGATACACGGGTTTTAATTGAAGGAACCCAGCATACCACTCTGGGCTTCTCTGTCAAATACATTTATTGCCTCAAAATGATTTCACGCCCTTATTTAGATGTTTAGTCATATCGATGTCACACCCTTATTTTAGATGTTTAGTCATGTCGATACAATGCATGGTTTGTGTTAACATCTTTTAGAGAGGAAATATGTGTGACTGAAACCATATGATATAAATTGATAATCAATGATTACGATTGAAGTATGCTTATGGTCATCCAATATTGGACGCGTAATTTGAAGCTAACTTGAGCGGTAACGACATTCATTGCAATAGCACTATTGAGGATCCTGAAGGGAAATCTATGATTAGAGCCGTCAACTCATTTCGGGTGCAACACCAATATATCACTGAAGACGTGCCACATTGGCCACTGTCCTCGTTGACAAACGAAATCACGTGGGTTGGTTCCGTGGTATTATGGCAAAGCGGGTACACCCAACCGTTACGTATATCATCATCACTATTAAGTATCAATTTAGAAACCTCACACGGTGATTACATACGTGAATATTCCAAGGCACCTGGGCGAGGGATCCGTAATGAAGATGTTGCCATTGCTAACTTAAACCGACTCACAACAAATCTAGCATTCGAACCAGATTGTGTTTAAGTTTTGGAGATGCATATTTGCACCACTGGGTCAGCCTGGGGGTTAGAAAATTGCCTCTGTGGCAATTCTTTCCTAGACGTATATCCCAATTTCCGTGCTGTTGTCACTAATAATGATTATGTCACCCAAAATAAAACTAGAGATCGTGTATAAAAGGATTCATAAACTTAAGACTCAAGAACAGGCACAGCTATCCCTGCAGCAACGCCATCTCCGCGATTCTTCTGAAACAACATCCATCTTAGAACCATGATGAGGCGTCTTTGGTTGTCTTTACTTCCCTGATCTTTAGACCTCCACAGCAGAACGTGTTCACAACATCGTTAAGACCATACACAGGAAATTGGGCAGACCTCACTGTCGACATGGGAGACCCATTACTCATGATCGGCATCTAACACGGCCGGATCCGTGAACCTGACCTGACAATACTTGCTTTAAAACACACATGGGACGTCATTTTGGTGAATACACTCTCCATCATTTTTAAATCATCTGGTTTAATTAGTCATTAGCCTGAACCTACGTTAATTCATGTACATTTTGCTTTATTTTTGCAACTGCCATGAACGATTTCCGTCAATGTCAGAGCATGATTTGACACTTTGCGGTCGACCTATGGCTAAAACATAAAATCTATGATATTGCATATCAGCATGTTATCAACATGAATTATATAAACATACTTATCCATGTTCAGAGCTCTATATTCGCATAACCCTCATTTACGGTTTAGGAAATGTGTACATGCACGTGCAACAGTGGCAGAGAACAGTATTCCTCGTGCATCACGCGAGGGTGACAGATCTTGCACATATGCAGGGTACCAAGAGTTATGGTTTATTTTTAAAATATGTTCAACACAATAATAAAATTATTAATGAATCTTAAGAGTAGTAATGTGTTTCTAGTATCTCTCGGAGCCTTTTAAAAAAAGTTACTCGGCCATTATTTTGAAGGGATCAACAAGACAACCATATTCAGTTGGTGCTTCCAAGGAAACGATATCAAACCGCCGCATTTTCAGCTCGGATTATTTCAACCAGTTGGTTCGCAGAACCGTACGAGAATTGGTTGAGAGAACACAAAGTGAAGCCCAACGTCCAGAGATTCGCCCATTATTGCTTCACAGTCACCACAACGCATGTTAAGCCTAGTGTAATCAAAAGCTAGGACACATGAGTATGATGTAGCAGGATTAAAGTGCACAGGTATGTTGAAAGCGTTGTAACAGACTTTTCGAGTCGAGTAGTAACATGACGGGATGAGATGTATAAACGCCTACGACAGGACCAGAACCAGCTGGGCCAGTCTCTGCTTGAGATCATCTTCAATTAACGCACAGGCGTTAATCTGTCCAGTCTTGGCCTTCTTGGGTGGTGGTGGTGGTAGTAATGTAAAAAGCTATTACTGTTTAGGTTGTTGTTCGGAAGTGGTAACCAACGTTTCAACCATGTTTCGTCTCGTCACAAGTATATTTTGAAAACAGTTTTCAACAGAGCTAGATTCCATAGGGCCAGTGTTGTGTTCACTGTTACCAAATTCCTTTTATGTGAGGCTCAGAACATATTAATCACTCCTGGTACAGTTAACGTTGCTCCGGATAATTAAATGTTTTGTGTTACCCTGGAATTAACGAGGACTTACTATGAGAGACGCCAGGAATTAATTCTATATATAAGCTGGGGTTTTGTAATCATTGTGTTGAGACTAAGTGTCTGATCAGTAAGAAGAACCTCGAAAGTAGATTACAAACCAACATTTGATTAAAACTATTAATCTGTGACTCGACTTTTCTGTCACAGACGACGATTACATCTTATAGACTTTATAGCCTATTTTGAGTTTGTGAACGAATGAAATCAATTACAGGGTACTTGAAATAGGCGCATTAATCTCTTCACGCATGAAAGTAACACTATCGTTACACAGATATGTCTCATTCAAAGGTTTATTGCACAAATTGTAATTTTGGCCACCACAATCTCTTTCTCGTATATGGTCATGTCTTCAGAACATGTATACACCACTAGC